AGCGGCCGCGGCTCGCGGGGCTGGGAAGCAGGTGGCGCCGCCTCGCCTTCCGCGGGCGGTCGCGTTCGGGGTCTCGCCAGTGCCCCCGGCCGGTGTTGAGCCTCGGGCAGCGGCGGGGCCGTTTACTCGCCGAGGCCGGCGTGTCCCGGCAGTTCCTCCGCGTTCTCTCTAGCTAAGCCGGCCCGCCCTGGGGAACGCGGGGCTGAAGTCGCCTTTCCGACCCGCGCAGGTGATCGCTGCGGGCGGCCCCGGGAGAAGGTGAGGCCGGCGGCCCCGCGAGGAGCGCCAGAGACCCCAGGCCAGAAGCTCGATCCAGACACCGCCCGCACCGCCGGAGGACGTAAGTGACCGCGCGGCTCTCAGCGTTGTTTTCTGGGTGCCTTATACTTGTATACATTCGTATAGGGAACTTTCGTCACTACTCCAGTGTGCCCAGAATAGTCATTGGAAATGTCAGTGGGGATCAGCCTGGCTTCTGGGAGAGTCACAGGAATGAGGGACTTGTGACATAGAAACGATTTAGGGCATAATGTGCAGTACAACTTGTGGACCTTGATTGAATCCTGATCTGATAAAAAAGTTTTTAAAAATTGAGACAGTGCGCATTTTTACTTGTTTTTTGATGTCTACAGGCTTGATTTACTTTGTAATGGTGTTATGATTGTGGTTTTAATAACCCTTATCTTTCAGTGTTCCTGACTGAAGTTGAAATATAGGTTGGAGATTTACATGACAGTAATCCAGATTCGAGGAGTGCTGCTGACAGAAATGGGGGAACTAGATGAGAGTAGATTGGCCATGAGTTGTTAAAAGTTGAAGCTGGATGATGGATATGGAATATCCACACTGTTTTCTGTTTTTGTATGTGTTCGGCATTTTCCTTTAAAAGTGACACTGCCCCGCCCCCCGGTAGCCCCCCACCCCCCGGCACATTTTGCTCTATGTTTGATTCTAGATTCAAGGCCATCCGCAGGTCCTCATTCTTTGTAAATTGGTTCTCGAGGCTGCTTCTCCAGTAATGAGTTTTCTTTTTCTCCCTGCTAGGGGTACTGATTTCTTTTGCCCAAAAGGCACGGGGTGTTTACTGAGGGTGTCAAAGCCGAGTGGATCAAGTTGATGCAGGTGGATGCTGGGTCAGCTCTTTCTACACAAAGGGTATTAGCAAAGCTAGGGATTGTAGAAAATATGTTAGCAGTTTTTCCCAGTTGCCCAAACCCTTCCAGGTTACACTCATCAACGAACAGGCCAAGGTAGTGAACATACGTGTACAGTTCTAGAAGCACTGTGTCAGAAGGTTTACATAAAACTAGAACCCAAGATGAGTAGAGATATTTGAAAGAGAGCTCTCTTTTGTACTGCTTTTTTCATGTCTTTCCCAGTTTGCTGCAGGGATCACAACATGTCACTATTTAGTGAAGAACTGACTCCTAAGAATTCTGCATGGTGTTAACAGCCTTATTTTCCTCTTCAAGAACCCTGCTTTGGCAGGGATGGAGGTGTGTGTGGAGTGTAATACCTATATATTCATCTAGTTTGCTCATGTTTCCCCCTTGGAATTTATCTTTTAATTCCTACTCATTCTGCCATGCCGGTTTAGTAATCTGTAGAAAACATGATTTTTTTTTAAAGGGATTTGTTGAAGTTCAATAAGGGAGGCATACTTCCGAAAGATGAACCCATAGTTTGCAGTAGCATCAGTGTAGCTGAATTTAATGCCTCTTTGCTGTAAAGAGAAAATAAGACAAATAATACAGGTAAAAAGTTAAGTGTTAGATGAATCCCTTCAGCCTAGACCTTGCCCTTGTAGATTCACTAGTGTAAAAGTTGTAAAGATGCTTTAAGATTCACTTGAGGGATCCTCTAAAGTATGTTCTAGTTTCACTATAGCATGTGGGAAAATAACAAAAGAACCAACAAATATCTTGTCACAGTTGGAAAGTGTCATAGTGAATTTGTGGTGGTACTTTAGTGAAATTGTTTATGATTGATTTCTTTGTATGATAAAAGAAGTATGCAACCGTTAAGTGACTTTATTTTCTACCTCAGTTTCCTCTCTAATTGGAACATGGAGAGAACATGGAGAGAGAAAGTTTGCCAGGCTCTTAAGTGACCAGTGACCTAATGTTTATGCTCCTGTTTAGAGAATGATGGAAGTGGACTCTGGAGAGCTGACTGCTAATAGCCATTTTTAAGGAATTACCTCAAATGTATCATCTTCTCCCCCTTTCATGTTATTGAAGGGGGATAAACACATTAGAAAAGCGAATTGCTCCCTTGGTGGCCTTGAAATGAAAGGAGAGGGTGCTGGCAATTGAGCCAGCAGTACTCTCCCTTGGTAAGCACTTTGGTATCTGCATCACCTCATCTCACCCTGAGGTGGTGCAGCAGTGGTAGTGTTATTTTGGCTTTTTACAAGTGGAAACATTAAAATTAAGGTGGCTAAGACTTAAGTTGTTTCTTCAAGGTTACAGCAAAGGAAACTTAATGTTTATTAAGAGTGCCTGGTATTCGTCACACTTGTTTTTAATTCATACAAATCTAATTGGGTATCACAGCTCATTTTGCACATGGTAATTATGGCTTAGAGAAGTTACTACTAGTATGCTTGAGGGGTTGGAGCTAGGAAAAGTAGAGCCAGTCCCAGTTACTTGGAATACTGACTCAGAAGAATCACAAATTCAAGGCCAGGCTAGGCAGCTTAGCAAGACCTTGTGTCAAGGAAAAAGAAAAAAAAAAAAGCCAAGATTAAAACCTAGCTTTATGGGACATGAGGTCTGTGTTCCAGCTGCCACACTTCCGCTCTGCTGTTAGTGGGCAGCAGAGTTGCTCCCCAGGGCTGAGAAGTTAGTCTGTCTGCCACACCTGGGTGACGTGGGAGCCTGGGCCGCACCCAGCTGAGATACTGTATCGGGCCAGCACAGAGTTAAACAGAGGAAAAAAGAAAAGAAACAAACCTTGAGCTGCCATTGAAAATTGGGAGATTGCAAGCGTTCTACCGCGAGAATTCCTGAAGGTGGTACTGAGAAGCCTCCCCTTTAGGGAAGGGTGGTGCGTTCTAGCTTCCTCTGGCCTCCACTGCTCCCTGAAGTGTCCCCTGAGGTTGCACTGTTGTTTCCCTTACCTTAAGAAATCTGTGTGTTACTATACAAAATAGGATGACCAAAGATATATGACAAGCTCTTATCCTTTGAGGAAACGAAAAGGCCGTCTATAGTCCCTCTGTGTCACAAGAATGAACCCAAGTTACGTTGTCATTTTTTCGTCATGTTCTGCCTGTTTTTCTCATATACACAGGACTTTAGATTTGCTGCCCTTGCAGTTTGAAAAAAAAAAAAAAATGGAGCCCATGTGTGGGCAAGTCCCAGTAGGGGGGGGAATGCCTCCAAAATCACATACCGTGAATGCTTTGTGAGTGGAAAGATAGGTCTTGTGCACCTTGGGGGTTCCCCCCCAAAAGCCCTCCCTCCTTAAGCACCGTGATTCAGGGAGCCAAATAGATGCTGAGGTTGAGCTCAAACTCTGGAGCTGGCTGCCCTGAGCTGGATCCCAGCCACGCAGAGAGTCTCCCAGGACTTGCAGTTTCCTTCTCACCCTTCTCTGCGCGTCACGCTTCTGCTAGTGACAAGTCTGCTCTTACAGTAGGCAAAGCCCATCAGAAAGCCTTGCAGGGGTAAGGAACCTAGGCGCCCATGGATTCTGGCCTTCCAGGTGTTTCTGCAATACAAGGGTTAATTTCCTCTTCTTGAAACTTTTCAAGGTCATGGGACAGATGTTCTCACCTCTGTCCTTACTTGAAGCCTATCACCGCTGCAGCTTCTGCAAGGATCTTTGTTTCTTTCCCAAGTCCTGGGTGTTCACAGCCCTTTGTGTGTGTGCATCAATTGGTGTGGAGGAAAAATAAACCCAAGGAATGGTATTTAGGAAAAGCCAGGTGCTACTTTAAGATCTCTGTTGCTAGAACTGTCAGACTATATGAATGTGCCCTAATGAGGTAAGAAAACAAAAAACAAGGGCTGTAACTGGAACCCCTGGTTTTGGCTGAAAGCAGTTGAGAGGCAGAGGTGTTTTGTAAATGCCAGACCAGTGAGTTGGTTGGATCCTTTTAGGAGAACCTGAGACTTCACGGTTGTGCTCCCTAGGATGGTTAGTACTCCTCTGTCAAGGAAAAGTAGGTGATTGCATACTCTCTAGAGCAAACAAAGGCAAGGCAAATCAGACCTGAGTGTGGATTTAACCAGATTGCTAGGATTGATTTCTCGTTCATTTACAGTCTGTGTGATCTTGGCCTATTTTTATAATTTTTCCATGTCATTTCCTTACTAATATTGCCTGCATCCTAGAGCTGTTAAGATTAAATGGCACATGTGGAGTTTCTCACAAGGCCTTCAGGGAATAAGGTTTCACTGTGGGTCAGCTATCGGTGTTGGTGGAGCCTGCCTCCCTTTCACTTTATTAAGTGTAATCCCCACTCTTACCATGTGACCAGAATAAGAGGACAGGGTGCAAGTGCTTACAAGCTCTCAGCCCTCTGCTTGTAGAATGAGCCACTGCGTGGGCTTTGGGAAACGTCGTCCTCCACGAGCATTAAATTATTTGGGGTAGCAGCAACTTTTGAACTGATAAGAGCGGGGCTTTGGCTTTGAACCAAAGCTTCATCTCTGTTGTTTGGGGATTAAAATCCCCTCTGACTATGAAAGCAAATGGAATCCCCTGGCATTTCATGTGGATAAAACTCTACCCTGTTGGAGAAGAGCAGACGGGTGTCAGCATGGGTACAGGAGCCTCAGCTGCGGCTAAGCCGTTGCCTGGCAGAGGCGAGGCTGGACCCTCTGGGCACCCAGTGCCTCTTGTGCCAGTTGGGGATAAGCATAGTGGTATCATGAGGGGCTAACAGGATTTTATGAAATCCTGATACTGGCACAGTGAGCTGTGTCTGATTTTTACCTTTGTGGTCTAGATATACTGTCAGGTTTACTTTTTAACTGGAAAAGTACTATTGATGCCATTAACTAATACCTGCACTTTAAAGATTTAAAGTGTTTTATAGTTTTAAAAGGGGCTCTCCAATTTGATCTTTAACACGCTCAGTTATAAACTCATCGTGGATTAATCCAGTATCACACACCCATTATCCAGTATGACACACCTGTGATCCAGTCACCTCCCCAAAACCACACCTTTGAGTGCATGAGGCTTTGGGGAGACATCCATATATAAACCACAACAGACAGCCTAAAAAATAAATGCACACCCATATTCTCACCAACCAGAGGTAGCCACTGTTGGGATAACCTGGCACCTACCCTGTAGGATATGTACCATCTATAGCCTCGCTTTGTG